AAAAAAAAAAAAAAAAAAAAAAAAAAGCACAAACATCCATGCCAAAAACTCATTCCCTACGTCTTCTTCTTAGACTTTTATGATGTCGGCTCTTATATTTTGTCTTCAATCCATTTGGGCCCAGTTTCCTGTATGATACAAGATAAAGTCCAATTTCATTCTTTAGCCTGTGGAAATCCAGTTTTCCCAGCACCAAGACTTCATGCAAGTACCTTTCCCCCATTGTCTATTCTTGGTGTCCTCATCAAGGATTAATTGACTGTAAATGCACGCATTGACTCTATGGTTCTATGTGTCTGATTTTACCAGTAGTTAATTCTAGCAAAAAATACTAAATATTAATAAAATGAAGAGTTTTTCAAAAAAGTAACTGATGGTATTTAAAAATGTAATAGATGCTTGACAATATTGTTAAAATATTCTAAAAAACTTCACTTTTTAGAGCAGTTTAAAGTTCCTCACAATGAAATTGAGAGGACAGTTCAGAGTCCCATGTGTCCCCCTCCACCATCCATATCCAATGCTGTCATTATTATTGGTTACACTGGGGTTCACTCTTGGTGTTTGTACTGATTACGGTTTCCTAGAAGACTGGGGTGGATAGAATATGTATACATAGGCATGCACATAGCCATGCAAGGGGCTTTATTAGGTGGGTTTTCAAGCTCAGAGGCAGGAGAGGCAATAGTGGCTGTTTGTGTGCTGGGCAGCTAGAGGATCCCCGTCTATGAGCAGGAAGACACAGAACACGAGGGGTCAAGGGCGCTACTTCTGAAGGCTTAGAAGCTACCTGGAGAGTCCTAGTGAGTCTGCCCTCGAGGCTGAAGAAATTCGGGGACTGACATCCGCAGGTGATGGCAGCAAAAGATTCACCTGCTACAGCAGAACGGAGCTTTCCAAGACGTGCCCCAATGTCCTCCGTCCCTTTCGTTGTGCCCTGGCTGCCAGCCTAGGGGATGGCGTCGCCACAGCCGGGGAGGCCATCACTCCCTCAGTCTGCAGCCATCTCACCATCACCGCACAGACCATCCAGACCTGTGCTGCGCTAACCCACCAGGCAGTTCTTCCTCCTGTCGGCAGTCACGACGGTCAGTCGCAGTGCTGTGCGTTCTGCGGGTGTGGACAGTGACGTACCCAGCATTGTGGTGTCACTCGGAGCAGTTTCCCTGCCCTACAGTCTTCTGGGCTCCACCTTTCCATCCTTCCCTGCCCCTAACTCCTTGTAACCACGGATCCCTGTAATGTCTCCACAGTTTTACCTTTTCCAGAATGACACACGCAGTAGCTGAAATCACACAGGAAATAGCTTTCTCAGGTTGCCTACTTTCATGTAACACATGCCTTTAGGGCTTCGCCTCACCTTTGCCTGCCTTGACAACTCACTTCGTTTTCACCCTGAATAATACTCCACCATCAGGAGGCACCACAGCTTACGAACACATTCACTGGGTGAGTAACCACTCAATTGCTGCCAGGTTTTAGTAGTTACGAGTAAAGCTGCATCCATGCACAGGTTTTGTGTGTATGCACATTTTCAGCTCTCTGTGGTTAACATCAAAAAGTACAGCTGCTGCTTACTGCATGGCGAGCAGTTCAGTTTCCTAAGAGCCACTGAGTCCTCTTCACGAAGAAGAGTTCCTGCTGCACCATTCCTCACTGGCATTTGCCGTCACCTGCGTTTTGGATTTGGCCGTTCCAAGGGGAGTGTGCTCAGTAAAGGTTTTTTCAATAAATTGATTTTTTAAATCATAAATCAAGGTTAAATAAAATTCTCAATTATTAAGAAAGCAGAATTATAAAATGTTACTTATATTACCAGTCTTAAAAGAATGAAGGTCGGGGAAGACTCTCCATAGTCCACCCTAACCATCCACTCTGGGAAGTCATTCATTCTGCTGAGTGTGTGCACAGGTGTGTGTGTGCGCGTGTGTGTGTGTGTGTACACGCATGTGCATGCACAAGCACAACCATGCATGCTGGGGGAGAAACAACAGAAGACGGAGACTAAGGGAATGTATAGTGCTTCAGAATCTTTTTCTAGGTTCCCTGTCATTGCTACACTGTATTCCCTACCCACTGTGTTCTGCTCCCCAAATTTACATGCAAATATAGTCATGTTCATTTTATATTATAACTAATCTCTGTACAGAACACTACCTGTATTAGAAGGTAAAGGAATAGTCCAGTAATTGATATACCTACAATGATAAGCTTTCCAGGTTTTAGAACATACCAAAGCCACAATCATTTAAACTGGTGCACATATAAATAGGACAGTGGTATCTTACTAAATAAACCCAAGTATATAGGGAATTTCAGTGAAGAAAAAATGGATCCATGAATGTATAGAATTAATGATGATAGATGAAATTAGGGGATGATGGAGCCCTCCTTAAACCTCACGCCAAAATAAATTAAAAGACTAGAAGAATACATGGGATTGTGGGGATGTGGGAAACAGGCACTCTGTATTATTGGAGGACAAACCAGAAACATGTGCAAAATCACGCAACTTCCCAAGCACTGGCCCAACGCAGTGATTTGGCTTCCACGAATTCAGTCTGCAGGTAACTTGCGCCTGAGTCCACAGTGCATCATGAAGAGCTCAGTGAACTCAGTAAGAGGTGGCTGAGTAAACCACAGAGCACGCATATGGGGAAAAGGCACAGCAGTAAGAGGGGACGACGGGTTCTGCTCCCCCTTCTCTTGTGAAACGCAGCCAAGTTATAACTTTACACTAAGAAGTAAGCAGTGAAACAGAGACACAATAGAACACACTACTTGATTCCATTTATATGGTTTTCATGACCAGGAGAAATAAAAATATGGTAATGAAGGCAATAAGAGTGGCAATTGTCTCTATGAAGAAAGAAGAGAGAAAGGAGATGTCGGGGTGCTAGAAATATGCACCTCGCTCTCGGCGGGAATCACGGGGGTATGCAGAGTAAAGGTTCGCTGCACACAACGCTTTTCACAGTTTCCTCCACACATCATTGCCCACTGTAAAGACAGATAGAAAAGCATGACGTGCAGCAGCGCTGTAACATCCTGTATGACGTACAACAGAGAGGAGGCCTGCGTCTCTCCCGACTTCATTAACCCACTCACGGCACGGCTCCGGAGCTGTGGAACTAGCTCAGTGTGGCACCAGAAGAGTTACTCTGGGTGACCAGGACAGGGTGTGAGGGGACCCCTTCCTGCGTACCACTTGTGCCTTTTATTTTAAACAATGTGGACGTAACGTAATACCTAATCACAACATGGCTTGTATTACAGACACATCACCTAGCACGGTCCAAACCGCGGACTCACTCAGGGCTGCTGGCCCTGCCAGGCCCACAGCAAACTCGAGGCTGTAAAGCCAGCCCTCTGTTCACAGTGTCCACAGCTGGGCCATGGGGTATCACTGTCCGGGGCAGAGTCTGTGAGCTGTGGGAGACTCTGCTGTCACTAGCCCTCCGCTTTTCCTCTTTTCCTGGTGAGGAGTCATTGAAACCACTTAGATCTTTGGGTTGGCGAAGCTCACGTGCCAATTGCCTGTTCTAGTCATTCATTTAAAATAACAGCAAGAGACCAGCAGGTATTCATTGTGCATTCCAGGCAGAGGGCACCATGGCTCATATCTTAGTGGAGGAAACCAAACAAGCAAAGGGAATGTGTGTGTGCACGCGTGTGCGTGTGTGTGTGTGTGTGCGTGCATATGTGTGTGTGATGTCAGACAGTGAGGAGTGAAAGAACAAGACAAGGGGAGAGATCAAGTCTCAAGGGGAAGTGGGGTGCAGCAGGGGTCCCCAGGCCATACTAGGGTAGCTCCTGCACGGCCTTGCTGGTGAGGTACCATCTGAGGTCTGAAAGAAGCAAGGTGCTGAGGACGGGGGCTGTAGCTCAGTGGTACCACACATGCCTCACAAGTGCAAGGTCCCAAGTTTGATCCCTGGTACAAAAAAAGAAGAAAGGAAGAGGAAGAGGAGGAAGAGGAGGAAAAGAAGCAGCAAGGTGAACAGCACTGTGCAGATCTAGGGAGAGAGGGCCTGAGACGGAAGAGCGGCAGATGCCAATGTCCTAAGATCAGAGAAGAACACAGAGGCCAATTTGGTTGGAGCTGAAAGAACCAGGAAGAGAACAGCAGGAGCAAGGGAGGCCGGTGAACAGTGAGATGGAGATGCCAGGTTGGGTACACAAACTGGGCTTTGGGAAACAGACCCTGGGATGTACCACAGGAGGCACCACAGATTCCTCTTCTATCCAAGTGGATTTCTGTTCGTGGTCATCAGATTCTTGGGCTCCTCTCTTCCCAGCACTCTATGGTCAGGTCCGGTCTTTTCCACCAGGTTCCCTAAGTTCCCACCGTGGGAAGCAGGTGCTCACACGTCTGATCCTCCATCTCAGAACACACACTGATCCCTGCCCACCTAAGCACTGCTGTGTCAAAGGATCCAAGAAGCGAAGCCACACACGCACCCACACACATGTGCAAGCACACCCTCCTTCTAAAGACATACTTCAGTTTTTACATTTTCCTAATGGGGGGCAATGTAACTAAAAACCCTGTGTGTGGGTATGCACGCATGTGTAGGTGACTAAAGAGGTGAACTTAGCTGTAATATCGGACAACTCAGTATCACTAAATGTTTTTTTATTCATGCCTAAGACTCTCATGATATTTTATGAGATTTCACCAGCTTTTATAGACTTAAGCACTTTCCATCACTATGTAATCCTCACATATTAACACCTAGATTATCTATCTGCTCCTCTTTGAAAATACATGATGTTCAAATTGTAAGGCCCTCAAATCAAGGCCCAGCTTTCTCACGTTACAGACAAACAGCACAGAAATGCTTCATTTCTGGAAGCCTTGGTTTCCTGGATTAATGACTGCTTCCTGTCACTAAGAACTGAGTGACTTACATTTTAATGTTCCTATAAGCTTTTACCTAAGCTGTCAATGCTGACTGTCTCAGCCGCTTCCTCGTTGCTGGGATACACGACCCGGCACAAGTTAAAGGAGGAGAGGACTACGTGGGCTCACAGTTTGTGGAGGTTCCAGTCCGTAGTCGGCTGGCTCCAAGGCAGAGTGGCACGGCAGAGGAGAGCAGCTCATAGCATGGCGGCAGGAAGCAGGAGGAGGGACGAGTATACTCGTAATGTATCACACCTCCTCCCACCAGCCTCACCTCCCAGTACCACACCGAGCTATGACCCCGTCAGTGGTCAGTGGACTCATCCGAGTACCCCACCCCATGATCCAACCCCTTCCCCAGATCCCCACCTATGAGCACACAAGGCTTTGGGAGGACAGTGAGATATAAACCACAGCATGAATGATGACACTTGAAAAAAAAAGGGAAAAAGTATGAGAAAATGAAAAAATGGAAATGAAGTACTTGTAAAGGGGGAGGGGAGGAGGGGTGAAGGGAGGGCAAGGAGGAGGGGAAAAAATGAGAACCAAGACTTGTCATGTGAAGATACAAGATCCCAATAATGAATGGAACTGTGCCAATAAACTCAATGAGGAAAAAATATGGTGACACTTACCCAGTGATGCTCGGGTGACTTTGAGGATTTTCGTGTTCTTCATGATGTGGAAAGAGAAAAGTTGGCATGTGAGGGTGAGAAGTGTGAAAAGCAGGCACAAAGGAGGAATGAATCCAGTGCTGCGAGAAGGAACAGGGAAGGAGCACGTGTGTTATTGTTATTAACCTGAACTGCCCATTGATTAAAGAGCAGCATCACCTTGAAATTACTCAGCCTCTTCGAGATGCTGATTGCAAATCTGTGACATGGAGACAATAACAGTTCTATTCGTGGGATTCTTACAGGGAAGAGTTAAATATCCCGAGGTGAGGCACTTAGTACTAGGTCATCTGATACCATGACACAGACACAAACCCTTGGGAAGCTGAGCTTGTCCTTATCCCTGTCACCATCAGGCAGGAGCGCAGCTAGCTGGGTAGGGGTAGCTCAGGGGGAGCAGAACCCCAGGTGACAGCCAGACCAGTACTGAGGATGCAGCCATGGGAGTCCCTGGTTCCCCAAAACTAAGCAGGTGAGAATAAAGGAGATTCAGACTTGAAGGGACAGTGCTCTGTCCCAACCTGGCCA